ACGCTGAAAAAGCAGTCTTGCCCTCCATTGTACATCAACAACAAAGAGATACCAGTTTCCACTCAAGTCAAATACCTGGGACTATATCTCGACAGCAGACTGACGTGGAATCCCCACACACGACTTAAAAAACAGCAACTTAATACAAGACTTGGACTACTACGAAGACTTTTAAGACCGAAATCGACTTTGACAATTAAGACAAAACTAACACTATACAAGACTTTACTAAGACCAATATGGACATATGGAGTAGAATTGTGGGGCACTGCCAAGCCTTCCAATATCCAGCGCATTCAGTCCTTCCAATCGAAAGTCCTTAGACAAATTGTTAAAGCACCCTATTATGTCACTAACCTCACTATCCACAAAGACCTCAACATTCCTTTTGCCAACGAACTAATCCAGTCCAGATTCCAAACCTTCCATACCAACCTTTCAAACCAGCCTAACCATACGGCTCGAGCCCTATCCACTCATTCCCATCCTGACAACCCACCACGACGCCTCAACCGACGATGGCCTCGGGACCTCCTTGATCCCTAATCATATAAACTGAGTGCCAGCAATGGCTGGCTCCTCAAAGCATGTGTCCTACCGGTGCAGTGCTGGCATTAGTGCTAGTGTTGTGCAGTGTGATATTTCATGCATGTGTACATATTTGTATAGTATTCTGTATAGGTAACAAATAAATAAATTAAATTAAAAATTTCTTCTTCGATCCCTTTTCAGCAGAGTCTACATATTTTTTTAGATAACTAAATTTTAAAACTAGTGGTCAGGTTTGTTAAAAAGTTAGAACAATAACAACCAGCTTTCTTGGATATATCGAATATATATCGGGACTCACATGTCCCCTCTTTAGTGATTATTTTCGCCAGCATGGGAGGAAATTTATTCAATGTACGCAAGAGAGCTGGTCGTTATTGTTTCAAGTTTTTAACAAATCTGACCACTGATTACTTGAACAACCACTTTAAAGGGAGAAAATGGTTTCATCTAAACTTTAAAATCTGACCGAATTTCTGTCATTTTTCAAAGTCATTTAGTAGTTCAAGAAACGTTGCCAATTTTCAGTACAGTTTTCTTAAAATATCTATTTGCCTTATTACAATAAATCGTTGTTTGTTTTATTTTTTAATATACTACGAATTCCAACGTAGGAATTTTTAAAAACAGCGAATTGTTAGTTAATTTTTGGCAACAACCTGAAGTTGCGATAAAATTTTACAGTATTTTTTACCCAAAACTTAAATTCTACAAAAGAAAAAAGAAATCGTTTATTTTATTATTTTTTTAAAAGAAAAGTGTACCAAAAGGTACAAAAACGACAATTTTTCAGAAAAAGCAAGAGATTTTTTGGTCAAAGTCGTATTTTTCCGTAGAAGTACGATTTATTTGCATTTTTTTAAGGCTTTTTAATAGGGAAGGTAGTTTTGGTCATCGACCATGTATAAAATAAGAGGGTTTTTTAAAACAACGGATGCCAAGTTGCAAGTTCGTCAGAGCAGGAGAGACCAGAACACATGATTTAGAACTTTCGAAAAATTATTAAATCACTTCTAAATCTCTGAATCTCATAGAATCACGTTATTTCTGTGTGTAAAAGGTTATCATTTAATTTAAACAATTTGGATTCAAAAACAGTCGCTACATCTCTTAAAAGAGTGACTTTTTCCCTGTATTTCATTCCTCTTGAAAGTGATGAACTTGTTTCGTCGTATTCAGTCATTTTAGTCTACTGCTTTGACATGGCGAGAAGTCTGACAGAACCGAAACTTGATACTTTTTATTTAATACAAATATTACAGTATTTAGTACTCCGCGTGTTTTTAACAACCTAGCTCGTCAAAAATTGTTTGAATATACAAGTCTACAAGATGAAAAAATGATCGTTTCGATATGATAAAGAGTTTTGCAGAAATATGTACCGAAAGGTGATAAAGTACAATTTTTCTTTCAATAGATACGATTGCGAAGTCAAATTTTTCCCTTTGCTGATCAATTTACGCCATTAAAACAAATCTTCTAGCGCTAGGGAGTTAATAGATGATTTTTTAGATGGAAAGATAGGTTTTCTTTAATAAAAGAATATATGTAAAAAAGGATAGTCGTTAAAAAAATATGAGGGATGTCAAGAGAAGATGCATACGAACACTCGATTCTCAACTTTCAAAAATTTATTTAAAAACCTTTTAAAGGTCGGAATTTCATAGAACTAGTTTCATTCTGCATGTAAAATATTATAGTTTAAGCAAAATGAGGTGTTAAGATTGTTTGCATATATTACCACACTACAAAATTAAGAAAGATCATTTCGATATGAGTTATGGAGAAATATGTACAGAAAGGTGAAAATGTATAACTTTTCAAAAGATACAACGCTTTATTTGCAACATTCAAAAAATTATTTAAACCACTTCTGAAATCGTAATCTCATAGAATCAGTTTCATTTTTTTGTGGAAAAAGTAATATTTTTTGAAACGAACGTTACCACGTGTCTGGCAGACCCAAAAAATCGAGCCAAATAGACCGAACGTTTACACGTTTCTTGATACAAAAGCAATACATTTCTCCGCTCCATCGCGCGATAAGTTTATTTGCCAATTATTGCTCTAAAAAATTTAAAAAAAAAATATTTCAATATGGCTAGTTTTGAAGAAAAGTGTACCGAAAGTTGAAAAAATATAATTTTCGAGGAGAAGGGATTTTCTGATCAGCGTCGATTTTTTCGCGTTACAACTCAATTTGCGCCCTACAAACCTACAAACCGATTTCTCCTTCGGGAGAGAATGGATGATTTTGTTAGTTTTTAACCAAAAAATGTGCATAAAACGCATGGTTTTAAAAAAAAAACAAAAAAAAAACGTAAGGGATAGCAACTTTAAAGTTTATTAACGCAAAATACACAAGAAGACTTGATTCTCCACTTTTAAAAAATTATTTAAAGCACTTCTAAAGTTCGAAAGCGCATGGGATCAGTTTTATTCTGTGCGCAAAAGGTTGTAGTTTAATTAATAATTTTGGAGTTAAAAAAGCTGTACCTATCTGGCATCTAGCAGACCCTAAAGCCAGTCGGAAAATGTTATACAATTTTTTATACAAAAAATACAATTTTCGCCTCCAGTGTAATTTTTAAAACCAAATCTCCCTAAAACTGTTCGCCTATTTTTGATCTACTTATAAAAAAGAGGATCTTTTCAATATGATGACTAGTTTTGAAGAAAAGTGTACCGAAAGTTGAAAAAGTGTATTTCTTAGGAGAAACGTTTTTCTAATTCGCACTGGATTCGGAAAACAACGAAGCTAGGCAGAAATTTTACACCTTTTTTTATTTTAAAAAAATCGTTTTTCGCCTCCAGCGTGGTTTTTAATACATAAGGCAAGTTGCAAGTTCGTCTAACATGATAGACAAGAACCCTTGGTTCGCAACTTTCAAAAAATTTTCTAAACCACTTGTAAAGCTTAGAATCTCATGAGAATAGTTTTATTTTGTGCGTAAACCGTTGTGGTTTAATTTTTTTTTTTTATTGAAAAACGGCCTCACCTTTTGAGTCGAAGAATTACCGATTGTTGCTAGGTTGGGAGTTTGGACCGGCTGTGCATCCTCGGCCATGATCATGTCATGATCGGATCATTTTGAATAGCGGATTCGGAACAAGATGAACATTCATCACGAAGAGATTGTTTAATTTTCATTATTTTTATATAATGCAAGTTTGAAGGTTTTAAACGAATCGAAATGTGAGGAAACGGACACTTACCCGAAAAATGGTTGTTCAAATTCGACAAAAATCTACCAGAGTGAAATTATCGCGAAACCTTTGAGCTAAATTACTAGGCCTAAAAGAAATAGGACAAATATAGTTAAATGGTCGAAATTCATTTTCATAGTTTTAACGGAATGTTTGGTTAACCCAGTTTTTGAGCCGGTATAAATGGCGCATGCCTCGGCCTTCTGAAATAACGAACAATTTTTTTTTTTTTTTAATATTTTGTTTATTTTAAATGTATTTTGACGAATGATTGTTCGGGACAAACGGAGATACAGACGCACGTTTCAGTAGCGCTGTGCCAAGAGATTTTCGTTCTGTCGCCGCTCGCGAGGAAATTGAGTCTCTTCCGCTTTTCCGACGGATGTAAGAGACACCGCATTAATTCGGCAACTGGAGATCCGTTGAAGACGTTCCGCCGAGGAAATCCGATACGACCAGCGACACAATCGTTTATTCAAACGAGCGGAATCCCCCGTGTTACCGATCCTCGAGAGTAGAAGGCCCAGAATAATTGGCAATAACACTTAAATTAATGATTCGGTAACTAATAACACAGGGTGGGAAATTGTCGGCCAGAATAACTCCTAATATCTAATTAAACCGGGCGAACACAGTGCCAGAGGGGAGTCGCTGGCGTATTCACTTTCGCCCTCCCAACAGCCTAGCCAGACTTCAAATTTTGAACCAAAATCAAGTTTATCGATAATTTCTACAGTCTTCTACACAGAAAACGTATCGCTTTCAACTCATAAGACTAAAAGGTAGGACAATTTTGACAGCGAAAATATGTAAATCTCACAACCAATAGACATACGAGAATATCATCATCTAGTTGATTTTTTCTTCTTTTTTTTCTTCTTCGAATATGATAAAATCGTTAATTTCATATTGCTTTCTTTTGTGGTACGATTTCAGAAAACAAAAGATCGATGAAATAACAAACATTTATACAACAAATTATGTTGTTACATATCAGATGTGCTCAAAAACAAAGTAATATGTACCAGAAAATTTTTACATATTTTGTTTTTACACACCTGGCGTTCTTAGAAATAGTTTATATCACTAATATTCACCTAATTACCAACTAACACAATAATATTTATAATAAAAGAGAATAATTGAAAATGAAGTCGCGGATGAGATAAGGATAAACGGTTCAAATCGACAAACCTGACTGGCTTGGAGTAAAAACAAAGGTAAAAAGATGTAGAAAATCTTACCTTGTGGAAGTAAAGCTAATGCTAAAGCGATAACTAGTGTGTGGGGTGTCATGGCTAAGAAGGCGTCATACCGCTAATACCTCAGCCTGGAGACTGCCCTCTTCTTCTACCCCCACCAGCCGCAAGTCACCCCCGACCGGCGCTACCAACCCTTTCGCCCCACCACTTTCATTGTAACTTGTCTCCCACGCGCTTTTTCAACCCTGAATTTGTTTTTGGTCTTTTCTTTATTTTATTTTGAACTTTGGCCTTTTAGTCTAACACACGTGGTTATGCCGGTATTTGATAATGAACTGATTTTCTGATTTGTGTTGTTCGCTCATGGCGAAAGAGCGGCTCCTGTTTGATTCCTTTGTCCTTAGACTTTTCGACTAAAGAAGTCTTTTCGGTCGACTTTGTTTTTGCCGCTCGTCATATAAAGGTGGCTCCAGATATGCGGTATTCCCGAATGCCGATCGGTGCAGAACGTTTGCCAAGTCTCAAGATGCCCGCCTTGGCATTCGCCAAATAGCGCGTGACTGCATATACACACGGGGTTCGTACAACCAGCCAGTTTATGCGGAAACAGCGAATACGTATTTGCCAAGTGTCGTGCGAGTAGTCCACGAACTACCAATCGTGATGGACAACAGTGTCATTGCTGCAGCTGCGGTTACGGAGTAGTGGCTACAAACTCAGTCACAAATCAATCATACAGTACCGTTGCCCCATCTTATTTTCGATCCTTTTCCAGCATCGTAAACCTCGATCCTATTTTTGTGATTCGGAAGAGAAGCGTTACAAATTATTGGTTCAGGTTGGTATAACTCGAGCAACTACAAGACTTATGTTGGGCCAGTCCATTTCCCGACAAAATCAACGCTATGACGTTCTTTCGTTAATACATTTACACTAGTTAGGAATCGTTTAAGATTGAAAAATAAATAGCAGTGTTGACTGATGATTACAGTTGATATCCGAACAATACAGTTGATTCCCGAATGTCTGGATGCTTTGAGTTCGGCTACTTCACAAATATTTGTGCACTTGAAGCGGTCAAGGAAACTGAAAATTAGCAGATCATGGCGAGTACCAAATATTGTTGCTCGACGAATAACCGAGCACTCATCCCGACTAGTCGGGATTCGGCGAATATTTGCTGGTCTTCGACGAATCCCGTATGTCTGGAACCACCTTCGGTGTACGGCCGCCTTGTTTGCGTAGATTGTGGCATGACTCCAACAATCAATGGACGTCCTAGCAGCTCCATTTAAACTGACTCTACGATCTAGCGAGTCTTCAGAATAAAACGAACATTTCTTCCATCGATGATATATTATTAAATTTATATACGATTTCCATACACTCTATCAACAACCCATTGTACCCATCATAACAGCAACTAAGACTAAGAGGCCAAATATCTGGAAAAAAACGTTAGGAAATCGAATAAATTGAATGGCGGCAAACTTACGCAGAAGTGTTCCATTTCTGGGGTCCGTACTTGGGGTCAGCAGCAGAGGAAGGCTCCATGGAGAATCGAACGGATAAAGTGAAGAAGGGAATTCCGCACGTTGGATTCTGATGTGGAAGGAAGATCTGAAGAGCGGAACTAAGTTTGACGGGAGTATACAGAGGATCTGAAGGTGAGACAAGGAATGGGAAGAAGAAAGAGCCAAGGAATTATTACCTGCGATAAGAAGTGTATAATCACTTCAAAAAGTATAGTATATTACGTGTATGTGTAAGTGTACGCGTACTGATGGAGAGTGGAATAGCAGCATCGGAAATCTAAGAAGATAACGATACTTCAAAAAAAGTCTGATCAAGTGACACTGCAAGGTTCTTGGCGTGGGACAGAATAGCGTACAATTAAACGGGCGTTCATTGTAAACGGAGAAAAGTGGAACTGGATCCGAAGACTGGGACTTTTCTAAGTCAAGTTAGCCCATTTTCAGAGGCCACAAGACCTAAATTCATACAATTGCAGCTTGCAAGTAAGAAAGTGGTTAGGGAAGGTAAATTTGAGAGCAGATGGGACTTATTTTGGATTGAGACTACTTGGGAACGATTCAAAAGGACAAACGGTATCCAGGGGAGTACAATGTGGGAGAAAAGTAGGCTTTTCAGCTTTTGGGATTTGATGTACAACTTAAGTACAGCTTTTAGTAAAACGTACCATAATAAAATTTTAGAATAAACTATTTAAAAAAGGGTAACGTGAATCTGATTGTCCACAAGCGTCGGATAGATGTCGGTTAGTCTGGTTATTGGTCTGCCAGACGCGTTTCGGGATTTTGCCGTCTTCAGTGTGTCTTATTATCTCGCTCCAAATCACAACTACTGAAAATTATCCGAGCATGACGGGATCGAAGACGCACGGTTGGAACTTGTAACCCATGAGATTAGCAATACAATCGACGATCGGAAGCTCCTGGCCCAAACGCGGAAATATGGTCTTATATTGTGTAAACTGACGATGAATAATTCTGATGAAATATAATTACCCCTTTTCACTCCAGTAGTTCAAACGATCATTATAGAAATAGTTTACCCTTCGGTTATTGATGAAAGGGTTAAAACTAGTTTGTCGAGACGGGCAAAAGTTACCTTCTTTCCAATGGTTCGTTTCTGACCGAACACCTCGCAATATTTCTTTTCTGGCTAGAGTAAATGTGGCGGATGCGAGGGCGGAAGTTTTTCACAACACTACCTTCTCACTGATCATTCCGCTTCTTCTTAAGATTGCTTTTACTCCTTTGCCCTTCTCCTCTTCAACTTTTTGAAAAGATTTCTTCCCCTTCTTAATTGGTTTCAAAACGGGGGTCGCCGCTTTTCAACATGTTCTCGCCAAATTTCCGTTCCGTCGGTATTGAAATAAAATAACTCGCAATCCAGTATTTATGTTTTTTTTAACGTTTAAATGTTGGTGGCTTATAATATACAACCCGTAAACTCGAACCGATTTGGCACAGATACGTAAGATTTTATTTAAACTTACGAACTCTGAGGATGTGTACTTCAAAAGACAAATGACCGACAACAGACAAATTTATCAACAACCCTTCACGCAGATGACTCCTAAATTTACCCTTCTTAACTTCTTTGGATCCAGTTCCCATCTCCTCCATAAATTTATAAACAAGACCAAAACGCGGTGGAATAATACCACAGGCATGAGGCTCGAGAAGAGACAATCCGCAAAACTTACAAAGGAATTACAAGAAGGTAACCGCAACCGAACCAGGATTCTGGTTGGACTCCTGACAGGGTACTGCCACCTAAAAAGCACATGCACCAGATAGAAGTACAGGCTAGGAGAAACACTGTGCAGATATTGCCAGAAAGAGGAGGAGACCGCAGATCACATTTTATATAGGTCTATGTAGGTGCAGATTCTTGCAACTAGGACAGGAAAGCCACAAGCAAGATCCTGCACTAACGAGCTGCTGGCCTGAATAACAACCTGAAGCTGGCCAGTGAGTTATAAAAAAAAGGAACACAATAGATCTACTTGGGTCGAGGTCTATCTACTTATCCTTATCCCTATTCCTATCCCAGTCTTTGGATTCAGTTCCCACCTCCTCCATAAATCCATAAACTATTCCTGCCATCATATTTATGCAGTTGACTCCCATATTTACCTTTCCTAACCACCTCCACTTGTAAGCAACAATTCTAAGAATTGAAGAAGACTTGAGCTCAATTAGCTCCTGGACCGCTAAAAACGGCGTTAACGTTAACTTAGAAACGTCCCACTCTTTGGATGTACACTGTCCATCAGAAAAAAAAACCGACCACCTGGTTTTTGTAATAAAACACGACCAACTTTGGAAATGCATATTTTCTCAGCCTGTTGTCACATTTTTTAGAAAATTTGAGGATGAATAAAATGTTTTTTTAGATGCTTTCCTAGCTTCCGTGGTTTATCAGTAAATTCAAAACTTCGGGAACATATTAATTTTTACATTTTTTTATAAAAACTTCAAATTGAACTGTGGGGCAGGAAATCGTCCTCGCATCTCGTTTTGCATCACAACCGACATTCTCCTTACTTCCGTCTGCGTACTGCATAGTCATATTCCATGTCAAAATCTACGTTCACAAACACCATAACCGGATGCAGCCAAAGAAATGAAGAAACTGGTCTGTCCATCTCAGAGCAGTCTTCCCCTCGTATTTGTGTATCAAAATGTGTATATCAGCAGTATAGATTGTAAAGAGGGTTGGTCGTCGGTCCCTTGCGGAACGCCTACTGTGATTGGGTTGATACTTGAAAAATCTGTGCCGATTCTCACTTTAAACCGGCGGATCCGAGAGGCTTCAGAACTTCTTTATTAACTTGAAAAGTACACCGGGTCCGTAACGTTCACAACTACGAAGCAATATTTCTTGTTTTCTAACGCTGAGAATATATTACATAATTAACTCTTTTTTTAAGTGAGTTGCGATCATTAGAAATGCGAGGAGGCGATTGTTTGGATAGGCCTGTGCAGTGGATAAATAATTGGGCCAAGGTAGAGCGTGACGTTTTTACAAATGTGCGTTTAAGATGAATTATTTTATATGGCATTCATTGTTTTCAAGCCGGCTGTTTCAAGAGGGAATGCTTAAATCAAAGTCCTCTTTCTATTATAACTTGCTAAAAGAGAAGAATCACGTGGTAACATAGGTTAATTAACCAAATGCAAAAATTAGGAAAATCAGACAGTTCCATATTTCAGGTGTATATTGATTTAATTTTTGTCTCTGTTAATTGCCCCTTCATAAATATTATTTTAGACCAAATAAATAGAGTCTCAATATATCGTCGACTTTAATGATGGTTCTTATAGATTTTCACCGTTGCCGGGCAATACTGGATTAAAGGGCTATGTGAAGATGATACTCCTCACTCGTATCATGATAAAAAAATCACCTGCCCTTCTGCATTGCGTACAAAGACATACATCATGTTTCACACGAAGAAGTATTACACAAAACACTGACGTAAAAGAATGAAAATATTTCCATAAATATTTTAATTGATCCAGGTTGAATTTTTTAAAAATAATTATTCAAAATTATTAGCTATACCCGGCGATACCTAATGATAATGTCATTTCCCCTCGCT